TATATATATATATATATATATATATATAGATATATATATATATATATATATATATATATATATATATATATATATATATATATATATATATATATATATATATATATATATATATATATATATATATATATATATATATATATATATATATATATATATATATATATATATATATATATATATATATATATATATATATATATATACATATTTAGGCCTAAATATTTATATGGGGGGGGGGCTAAAAAAATTTTTTGCGGGGTGGCCCCTTTTTTCTAGTTCCGCCACTGCCCTCTAGTCTAATGAAAACGAGATTAGTCAGGGCAATCTTATCCAGCAGGCACTGTGCCTAGGGCCTAGAAACTTTTAGAGCCTTCAAATGCCAGAAAACAAATTAGATGTAGTGAAAAAATTAATTTAAAAGAAAATGTTTTTTTTTCCCCATTTAAATGCAACCTTATAGACAACCAATATAGACATCACATGAACTGGAATATGGTCACTGCCACAGTTGCCAGTTGAGCCTAAAAATTCCCATGGCCTACAAAGACCGATTCTAGTTAATTTTCTTGTAGAAAAAAATTGGTTTATGGAACTTAGTGAAATTTTGTAGAAAAAAAATTAAATACAAAACCAATTGAAATTTTTTATTATCACATATGCGTGCGCTCCCAATTCACTCTTACAGGTCTAATTAGAATAATTAGTTTCTACTTAAACCCATGTTGAGATAAACATTTAGTATTGATTATACAGTGGTTTATATTAATAGTGCAAAGGTAATTTTACTTTTAAAATGCTGTGTTATGCTTGAGAAGAACAATATTGTCTGTTACAGCTTTGTCATAAAATAGCAGAAGGCATCTGTACAGATGGGATTCTTTCAGCTGACAAATACACAACAATCTGGTCTTTAGAAGAATGGTGGCAGGTCAAGTCATCCATCACTGACATACTAAGACAAGCTGTTGGCAAGGAGTGGACAAATGAGAAAGTAAATGTTTTAAATGTATAAGTGTCTTATTTTTTAGAACATTCAACCCCCATTCCTCCCCCCCCCCCCCCGATCCCCCTTAGTGGGTGCTATCGTTTAAGGTATTCCTCACAGCAAAAGGATCCTGTTAATTATTATTATTATATATAGGCCCTATATATATATATATATATATATATATATATATATATATATATATATATATATATATATATATATATATATATATATATATATGATAAAGATGCTTTCAGCAGAAATGAACTTAAAATTTAAAATAGTAGACATCACATTTTTTACACCTTTCAAACCAGAATTAAGTGAATGCTGTACCTAAAGTTGAATTTTGTTACAGAGCAATAAAATAATTCATCCTTATTTATTAGCTGGATGAGGCATTAGGTCCACTAGATGGCCAGTACAAGAAAGTCATCAGTGAAGTGATCAGTGTTCACAGGGCAGACCTCCGACGCAGGCTGGTTCAAGACACAACAGCTGTATCTCATGCTGTGCTAAAAGATTTTGACTGGAAGCTCAAGGTGGTCTTAGTATTAAAAAGCTAGATACTTATTTTTTCTGAGGCCATGTTTTGTTTATTTTAAAAAAATACTCATTGCTACACAGCAATTGTATCAATCACTCTCTATTACAGCATGAGATAAAAATACATGTGCACTTAAAATTTAAGGCTTATTCATTTTTTTTATTTCTCTCTAGTTAGTTTAAAAATAATATCATTAAAGAATACTTTTGATTAAAATGTCTCATTACTTTCAGTTATCATTAGCAAGTGACAAGCTAGCATCTCTCCAAGAACCACTATTACAGCTTGATCTTTTTGTAAGGGAGGCAAATGGGGAAAGAAAACAAGTCTTTGTCGAACTTAATAAATCTGAACTTGAAAAATTGATTCTTTCATTAGAAGGCTGCAGTAAGGCAAGTCCACTGATATTCTTTTAATATTATGCAGTAATTAATTTATTTTATAAAATTTAGTTTTATAATGGTAACCAAATTTTTTTTTTTTATACTTTGCAGTCTGTGCAACAACTGACTACATCTGCTTCCTAGTCTAGTGTTCTCTCTAGTTTAGATTGTTCCTGTAAGACCCATCAACAATAAGCATCGGCCAATCCGGTTTTACATAATCAGATTCGTAGAATTTTAAAAATTCTACAGAGCTTGTTTTGCTTTAAACAGTAATGTAAAGCTTAAAAGATGTTCTCGTTAAATTAAAACAAATACTCAGATTCGTTTGTCCATTTAGATTCAGAGGATCTATAATTTTTTATTAAATTTTTATTATGAACTAAAATTTAAATATGTTGTTACTAAACATCAGATTTAAAAAATACATAATGAACTGCATATAGCCAGTTATGAGCAGACTTTTTTTTTTAATAGTGCTGTGATTAATTTTATATCCCATCAGGAACGTTGACTTGTATTTAATCATTGACAATATGTGTCTGAGATTGAAAGAAAATGAATAACAGATTTTGAAGGCTTCAACTTTTAAAATGAGTCAACCATAGATTGGGTTGATGTATAAAAATATTTTGATAAATGCATTTTCATCATGTGTTCATTATAAAAACTGTTATTGATATTGTAAAAAAAATGTATTCTTAACACAAGGAGAGTCTGAATTGATTTGATGTAAACACTGATACTTGTGTCATTAAGATGGCTCTTGTACTGTTGGAATGTACATTTGTATGCAAGGTCAATTCACCTGTGTGATGAAAATTGAAGTAATAAAAATGTCAGTACCAGCTCAAAGAATTTTGTACTGTTCAGGTTTCAATGTAGAGAGAAATAAGCACGTTTCAGAACAATATTTTATCTAGTTAGTAATACTACAGTTAACATGATAAAATGCAGATTAAATAATAAATTACATGTTTAGAACAAAATTTACAGCACAAACATTAGGTATGTTCTACTGAAGCAAGTCAAATTCATGTTTCATAAATTAGTTTTTATTAAACGATTTCAGACACCTAAATAAAGCAAATGGCATACACACACCATTCACAAAACAGGTAATGTAAATGTTCAAAGCAAGTCTATCAAGTAACAATATTTATTCATCATTGGCAAATTCAGCTGGGTCTTTGCGCTGCAGTCTTGCATGTTCTTTCTTGGCCCAATCATAAATTAAATAGGCTCCCACAAAAGCTGTGTAAAAAAAAAATAAGTGAATCATTACTAATTGACTTGAGTAAAACAAGATCTGAACTATGCATGTTTTTTTAATTATAAACACGTATTTGAACAAAATGTTTAAGAACTGTAGATTACACTAAGTAATTAAAAAACCACCAAATATCCTAGCTAAGATTTACACATAATTTTTTATAGTACTTTTTACATTGCAATTAAATATACTTTGTATTCAATGCACTCAACCAGAAGTACCTCTATTATTTATCACACAGTATGGCTACTCACGTGGTGCAACTCTAAAAATCTGTCCTTTAACTCTGCGAAACATGTTGGGAACTCCCTTTGATATAGCTCCAGCAAATGCTTTCTGCTCGTACGGTGAGAGGCTGTATGTTATTATGCCCCTGATATTTTTATTCAGTTCTCCCCAGTGCATACCCATGGTGATGCTTGTCTGTTACTTCCTAAAACATTGTTTAAAACATGTTTTTAAAAACAAACATGAAATTAGCAATTAGGCCTAGGCCTAATAGCTTTTACTTTTAGCTTATCATTTTGTTGTGGGATAGAACCATAAGTATTAAAAGGGTAGATTCTAAATTGCAAGGACCTTCTCAATGGAAGATATATTGTAGTAAGACACTAGCTTTCGATTTTGACAGCTTTAAACTTTTAATAGGCCTACCAACCAATTATCTAAAATATAGGCTTACATCATTTTACAAATCCATATCCTACTAGGCAGCTAGTGTCCCAGATATATGGGACACTCATAAAAATAATTGCTAAAATTTATTAGGCCTAACAACTAGGCCCAATTTAAAACACAAATGATGTTTCTTGTATTTGGAAATGGACTATTATTGTATTTGTTTGTGTCTGTTTCATGAAAAAGTTTAATTTTGAAAAAAGTTAGGCCCTTGGCCTATAGCACTGGATTTGCAAGACTTGTGAAATGGCGGAAAAAAGAAAATGTGCATGAATAATTATACTTTTGCAGAGCAGAGTGTCTGTGTCTTAGAGTTTAGGTTAGATTCGGTTACAGTTAGTGAGTTACTGAGTTACAGTACAATTACAGTGAGTTGACCTACTGAGTCTCTAGAATATAATTTATAAATAATGAAGCAGGTCTAGATAATAGATATCTAGATCTAGTCTACTAAGTTACTAAGTCTAGGTCAAATTCTTTGTAGAAGTGTGAACTAGTTGTGTAGAGTCAAGAGTGTAGAGAGTTTAGGTAAAACTCCATTTTAGCTTATTTTATTTCTCCGCTGCTTGTTTACCTCCAGTTGAGCATATTTTATTATAACAACCGAAACACACCAAAACATTAGGAAAACACGATTCATTTATTTGTATTGTATTTTTGTTTTAACAAATTAATAAAAATGAATAAAAAAACAAAGAGATTGACTTTGTTTTAGATTTTGATAATTTAGTTTTGTTAAAACTTGAGAAAAATCAAGATTTAGAATATTGAATGTGCAATGTTCGTGTGTCAGAATTTTCATGGCAATGGGTGAAGTACGTAAATGTAACTCACAATTGCAAGGCGGTTATGTTTGTATTGTTACAAGTATCTCCCAGGCATGATACTATAAATAAACATTAATGAACTTACAATGACCCCAAAACTGAGGCCAACACAATTTCAAACAGCTATTGCCCGATCTATGACGTTTGCTGATAATTTTTAATGAAAGTCAATGTGAACTTACGGTGAACCCGCGATCGTGTAAGGATTTTTCTCCCACTGACGATATTTAATTGGAACAGTTCTAATGCTTTTTTGTTTTTTTTACCTTTTCTAATAAAAAATCGCATTCATAAAAAAAAATAAGTAGATCGGTGTTTTCCTAACGTTTTTGTGTGTTTCAGTTGTGTTTATAATAAAGGCCGATGCTAGCCCGAAAAAGATACGCATGCGCAATGGAGAGAAACCATGACTTGCCATAGCGGCGATGTTTTCTATGGTACTGCGCATGCGTGTGTTTACAACCGCAGAACCCTAACACCAACCCTAATCCTATTTCTAACCCTATCCCTAATCCTATCCCTAACCCTTTCCCTAATCCTATCCCTAATCCTATCCCTAATCATATCCCTAGCCCTAGCCCTAATCCTATCCCAAACCCTAATTCTAGCCTTAACCCTAGCCATAGGTCACTGCGCAGAGCTATCTTTAACCGACTAAGTGGAGACGTTGGGGAGAAAAATCTTCCAAGTAGTCACTTCGTATAATAAAATAAGCTGAACTGGAGTTGAACGTCAAGCGGGGAATAAAATACGCTAAAATGGAGTTTTACCGAGAGTTTATTTTTAGTTAGGTCAAGCTAGGCCTAATTTTTAATTTTTTAGTTTTGATTTATTTAGGCCTAACAGTTTTTTTTAGTTTTAGTGTAGGCCAGAGCCTACTATTAGGGATTTTGGTAAAAAAACACTAATCATCATATAAAAATAAAAATTACATATTCTTGTAGAGCTCAACTAAATGAAAACAAAACAAAAAAGATTTTCTGTCTAGCTCAAATAGTTTTTTTTTAGCGAATTTTTTTGTGAGGGGTGGAATCCCCTTGCTTTTGCATTGGCCAATTGTGACAAGTCATGGTATACCTGAATAAATTGAGCATAGTTATTTTACTTGCAGTTGTATTTTGTTCATATTTGCAGAGTTTAACTAGAATGATATATAGAACTTGTAAATGCTGTTGAAATTAATAAAAATAATACAGAACTTATATTTTTGTGTTGGCTTCCTTCCATAACCCCAAAAAACTGTGTGCTGCGCAAATATAAAAATGTTTCTAATGCCATATTTTATATAAATACAGCAAATGAAAGAACTACAAAGTTAGAAATATAAAGTAAATGACTTGAACACTGTTATGTGCATATAATTGCCTCATTATTTTGGGCAGGTGAAGTAGAGTCCATCTTTAAGCCATTTTGTTATAAAACTGCTGCGCAAATATGAAAATGTTTCTAAAGCAATATTTTATATAAATACAGTGAATGAAAGAACTCCATAGTCAGAAATCTAAAGTAAATGACTTGAACACTGTAATGTGTCTATAACTGCCTTGTTATTTTGGGCAGGTGAAGTAGAGTCCATATAAAAGCCATTTTGTAATAAGTGAAATGAAGTTATCAGATCAATGTTTTTATGTGTGAATTGTGTATGGATTCTGATTTTCAGCATATAACTATATCTAAGGGTAAGTAGAACTTGAATACTTAAAATTACAGTTAGCACAATGCTAGTGTTAGCAACAGACAGGTAACCTAGATCTAGGTCTGACTCTTGTCAGTCTAGTCTGACAAAATTGGATTTTAGGAAAAACATATTCTGCAAAACTAGAACTAGAGCTGAAAAAATTAAAGATGGGTATGTAAATATATTTTGAAATAAAAAATTAGGAGATTTGTTTGCACATTCCATAAGAATGCTGTTGTTAGTTGATCAAACTTAAGGCCGGAAGATCGGGATGAAAAAATATAACAATGGTGGCAACGCGACCTACATACAGTGACCACCTCTAAACGAGTATATCTAATGTCAGAGTCAAAATATCCAAAAACAAATATCATTTCCACATATATAAGATATGTCTGCTCAGTAATCTTCACTCATCTAGAATAACCTTTTAAAAAATCGTGATTCCAACGTATTTGAAACTAGCCTTCATACAGGGGGAAGACCAAAGCAGAGACAGCATGCAATCAGATCGCTAAGCCATCAAAACAATGGGAAAACCATTCTACTTTTCATTTAACATTAGGAAATGACCTTTTAAACTTAATTAATTACCATAAATTAAAAACTTATTAGTATGCAAAACCAAATCTCGTGCGCCCGGTATCAGAAAGTAATGGGCGATTTCGGGTCATGTTTTTACCGCGATCTCGGCCGATACCGACAACCCTACTACTATATAACTATTTTTTTATTTTATTATTATTATTATAAAATAAAAAATTAGCCTACAGACTAGATCTATAATATAAGCCTATTGCTTTAAAGTTTAAAAGTGTTTATACAAACAAGTTAATTAAATTATTAAAATTATTTTAATAGTTAATCTCCTTACAACTTAATAATAAACTCAGTATTTCACTATTTTGTACAGCGTTACGGAAAAGCCCTTGGTTCCGTTGTCCTTCTGGTATCAGGGGAAAGAACGCAAGCTAATACTTCCTGTTAATCGTAAATAAGTACATATAACCGATAAAATAGCTAAATGCAGGTGTGGGTAAAATGCGAGACGCGAAGCCTGGAAAGTCGACATGGTGAAACGGAAAAATGCACGACGATTGCGAAACCCACCGATTACGAGACATTTTTACCTATACTCCATTGGTTGAATGGAAGGGGGCAATTTGTGATGATGTATGCTAATATTTCATCGCACTCGAAAACTAATGTCATAATGATTTACAATGAACTTTGTTGCAAAATGTTTAAATACTTTTTAATTAAATTTTGTAATAAGTAGCATATTTCAAAGGTGAACGGAAAAAAAGTCACAGGAAAAAAAAAACAGAAAAAAAGTCACAGTTTTTGCTAGGAAAAAAATTCACAGAATGGAGAAAAATTTCGGAAAAATATCTCTAATCATGTTAGTCACCTAAGTAGTTCGAAATACTAGCAATTAGTTACTTAATCAAAAAACATATTTTTTGCTCTTCCAATGTTCATTTAATGTTTTCCCGTTTGTGCCCAAGACCAGTGGCGTAGCTAGGGGAGGGCGGGTGGGGCGGCCGCCCCGGGCGCCAACCTTAGATGGGCGCCAAACGGGGTAGAAAAATAGAAAAATATATAAAAGGCTAGTTTTGATATTCATTATTTTAAGACTACTAATTGGGTTAACAGACTAAGTAAACTGTTTTCTAAATCGATTGTGTGACACTAAATAAAAACACAGTGACCGTTAAAAAACGTATGTGTGTTGGGGGGGGGGGCAAAATTAACAGTTTGCCCCGGGCGCCGGAAAAGGTCGCTACGCCTCTGCCCAAGACAGGGGAAAGTTTTATCAGTCTTTGTTTCTCCAACGTAAGTCAGGTACCCATCAGAGCTGGGTGTAATCCTACAGATTACAACCAGTGTTTCTTCCATACTTTTTTTTCCAGTGAGGGGGGAGGGGCACTTGAGGGGGTGGACATTTTCCGGGGGGACTGACACTAGTAAAAGTATGTTTTCTATATAAATTCCATTTCGTTCGTTGGGGGGGGGGGGGGCAGTAGACTTTCTTCGTGGGGAGGGGGGGATCCGAGCTCGATAGCTTTGGTTTAGTAGTCTAGTGATCTACCTTTCGGCCATGCCGTAACCCAATGTTCATCTAAATGTATTATATTTTTATCTTTTTGGAATGCTTATCAGTCCGGAATTTTCCGCTGCTATTTTTCAGTAACACATATATATTTTCACACAAAATATATTGCCATATATGTTGCCATTCTATAAAAGCAAACGTAGGCTACATCTATACAGTGTTTCTTCCAGACTTTTTTCTCCCGGGGGAGGGGGGCACTTGATATTTTCGGGGGGGGGGGCGGTCAACATTTTCCGGTGGGGGGGGGGGGGAGCGGACACTGGTAAAAGTATATATTTTCTATGTAAATTCCATTTCGTTCGGGGAGGCTGTAGACTTTCTTCGGGGGGGGGGGGGGTAGAGGCCCCCCACCCCCCACCACCCCCACCCCGAAGAATTGCCTGGAAGAAACTCTGCATCTACAAAGCCCGGTTTCTTAACGCTAATTCCCATTGTTTGGTAGTAGATTCTATAAGTTGATGTGAAAAATAAAAAAAATATCGCCTCAGACAATCTCAAATAGTAATCGTTCATGTTAAGACGGATAATATAAGGTCTACTGATATATAAACTCATTCGATCTTACAGTCACCCCCTTTTCACCGTGTCGGAATTTTTCTCCCGCTGACGAGAAATTGTGATCGGACGATCACGCGGGAGTCGATATTTTCTATCTGCATATTTCTTGAGAAAAATTGACGACGAATCTATAATGATCCATTAACATTTTTTAAACTCCGTCCCCCCTTTACCTTCACCATAAATGCCTCCAATCATGTCAACCTCAAATTTATTATTAATTTTTTTTTTTACCTGGAAGCAATCAGGTCAAAATAACCACGGTAAAATTATATTCAAATAGGGACCTATATTTTTGAAAAAGCAAGTATAATTACCAATTACAGTGGGCTAATGAACGCACTATCTTTGTAAGTCATTACGTCCTGTTCAAAGTTTTAACCTAGAAAAAAAAAACTAACCGAGTTATTAGGTCGAGTAAAATTCTTTAGATTACACTCTTCGTTTTATCTAAACAACCCAGTTCTTGCTATCCCCCCCCCCTGTCCTCATGCTGATCCCGAACTTCGCCCTACAATTCTCTCATAACGTAACGCCTTAACCCCCCCCCCCCCCCCCCCCCCCCCCCCCCCCCACCACCACCACCACCGCTCTTTACTTTATTTTTTAGTCGAAGTCAAAGTTGCACAAAAAATATGTAATGTGACCTATTTTTGGCACCAAACACTTGCACCGGCGCTAGTAAACAAAACAAAAAAACAAAAAAAAAACTTCCCAAGTAGAAGGTCATCGAACATTCCAGGTCAGGGTAGGGTGGGGGACACGGGTTGATCTAGGACGTAGATTTGCTTAGGGGACAGTGGCTATTAGCACGGATCATTAAGGGCATTAAATGCCCAAGTATGTGGGGGAGGGGGGATGTGTAGGGGGTATTTACGAAATAAGTTATACCTTCTGGAATCGATTTATTACCGCACTGGAACTGTTGTTACATACACCGTAGACGCATATTTTTCCTTCATTCTTAATTGTTAGATTAGATGGAATTTCCTACAGCATAATTGGGCATTATGTGTCGCCATGTTCAACACCATTTTGGTGCCTAGTCTCCGACTTCAGCCCAGTGGCGTAGCTAGGATTTTCGGGCCCCTATGCAAAAAGTGTTAGTGGGCCCCTCAGAGGCGTATCGACCCTTCCCGGCGACCGGGGACAAACTTTCAATTTTCACCCCCACCCCTCCTGACTTTCGATTTGTACCCCCCCCCCTCAAACTTTCGATTTGATTTGCACCCCCCCCCCCTCAAACTTTCGATTTGCACCACCCCCCCCCCCCCCCCCTCAGACTTTCCCTTTGCAACCCCCCCCTCAAACTTTCGAAAAAGGGCCCCTATTTGCCTTGGGCCCCTATGCCTTGCTTACGCTAGCTTTACGGTAGCTATTCCACTGCTTCAGCCTGATTTTACTTTCTCAGTGTGATTTCTTAGCCTTTGTTTGACAGCTGTTCCCCAGGTCGCTTGCTATCCCCAGCTAACCAGCATCATCGCCTCGGGGTCTGGGAACCGAACACCCACCACGACGTCACAAAGTTCCTGAAAATGAGGATTTCGACACAGGATCTCAATGGATTTATGAAATGCCCTTGTGACTTATCCAATCGTTCTATTCAGCATTCATTTTAAATGATCTATTTAAACATTGTGTTTGAAACCTTAAAACACAGAATCCTTTGAACGGGGCTAGACTACATTTACAACACAATAACACATGACAACACTATAACATATGACAAGACATTAACACGTGAAAACACAAACAACATATGACAACACAATAACACATGAAAACAATAACACATGACAACACAATATCACATGAAAACACAATATCACATGAAAACACAATAGCACAGGAAAACACAATAACACATGACAACACAATAACACATGACAACACAATATCACATGAAAAACACAATAACATATGACATCACAATAACACATGACAACACAATAACATATGACAAAACAATAACCACATGAAAACACAATAACACATGACAACACAATAACACATGAAAACACAATAATACATTAAAACACAATAACACATGAAAACACAATAACATATGACAAAAACAATAACACATTAAAACACAATAACATACTACAACACAATAAGCGCATAGAGGGTGAAGAAAAAAGCATGCGATTTGTTTTTAAAAAATTAGGTAGGCCTATTTCAATATCATAAAATTGCACATGGAAACACAACAATTTCAGACAACTTTGTTTTGCAAAACTGCTGAGATAAGTTTTCTTTACAAGCAGTTTAGACTTGGAGTTATATAGCCTGAAAAATGGTCTCAGGTAGTCCCACCCCCCAGTGTTTCTTCCAGACTTTTTTCTCCGGGGATGCACTTTTAAATTTTCGGGGGGGGGGGGGGGCGAACGACAATTTCAAGGGGGGGGGCGGACACTGTCAAAAGTATATATTTCCTATATAAATTCCATTTCGTTCGGGGGGGGGGGTGGGTAGAATTTATTCGTGGGGGGGGGGGGGCACCCCACTTGAAGAGATGCCTGGAAGAAACTCTGCCAACCACCTACCTCTTTTTCGACGCCCCTTCGCGTATAACCTACTGACCACAATCTAAGTACTACCAAGTTAAAACGAAGAAATATGTGTATGTGTGACTTGTACGAGCTTGAGAAAATTACTGCGTTGCGTTTGATTCGACACGGTAGTGGTGACGTAATATTACAAACGTTAACTCTCAAGTTGAGTAGGTCAAGATGGAAGTGTGATGTAGGCAGTGACGTTTAAAATGTACATTTTTGTTTCGGTGCTGTTGGCAGAACTTTTTAAAAAACTAACAGAAAGAAATGTTTGAAGCTTTCGATTTGTCAGACTAAAAGTGTGACGTAGATAAGCGACGCGTTGATAGGTAAGTAGGTCATACAGAGTGGTAAAAGAAATTTAAATGAAACAAATATTTTATTCCAGTGAAAATAATGAATTAGTGAAATAATTTTTAAAATAGGGGGGGGGGGGGGGGGGGGGTGAGGCTACTATATATGTGATTTATTTATTTTTTTAATGATAATCATGGTGCACGTAGTATTTAGCCAACATCTAGGGTCTAACACGAAATGAAGTGTTTAAAGGGTTTTTTTATCCATGAATTATATTATGTTTTGTGCGTTTCGTGTAGCATACGACTATATTGTGTGACACAGCAAATAATTTTTAAATTAAATTTCTGCTATTCCGTTAGGATAAATTGCCCTTATGTTATTTCTTCTTACATTAAATTAAGATTAAATTTTAACAGAATTTGGGATTTTTTTTTAA